GTTAATAACCAGGAAAAACAACAGGGTTGAAAGGTTGATTCTCTATTGAGTATCATTTCTACATTGGACAACAATGTCTGGATTTCTCATTAGAAGTGGAATTCAGAAATAAACCAGAGATATATAGACAGCTGTTGCTGAAGCTTTGATCTCCCACTGAAAAGATGAAATACTTTTCACCTTCAATCCCTACAATAACTGGGGCCAGATGGTTTCAGATAAGCATTTTAAACAAAGTTCAATTTATTCTCCTTCAACCCTGACAGATTGATTGTCAGATGACTTCTGAAATAGTTTCAGTTAGAAGACCTATTTATGATAAGCTAATCTTATTTTGGGGGGAGGGGGTGTGTGGGTCATGGGCACACAATCTTGGAAGTGAATTCTATTTATTTAACTGCTTGGCTGGTCCCTGCCAACCCCATCACCCCCATGTTCTGGCACCCAATGAACATTCTTACAATGCTAATGAATAGGCTCTGTGCCTACAGATAGGATCCAGTCCATGAACTATGCCTAATTTGTCAGCTGTATAGTTTGGGGAACACTTGCTGTGAGACAGAACACTTCACATCTTTTTTTCACATACACAAGCCCCTGGTGTGCTAACCATATGCAATTCCACCAGAGAAGAAATAGCTGCGCAGTGTGTGAGTTCTTCTCATCACAGAGGAGTTCTCACATCAGCTCAACAGAATAATGGGTCTGGCTAATTCTGAATATCTCTTTCTAGCATGGAACCATTTTCCAGCTGATGCAGCATCCCAAAAAAAGTCATTGTGAGTAAGCACCAGTCTTTAAATACTGCATTTATTTGTGTATAAAGGTAAAGGGACCCCTGACCATTAGGTCCAGTCGTGGCCAACTCTGGGGTTGTGGCGCTCATCTCGCTTTATTGGCCAAAGGAGCTAGTGTACAGCTTCCAGGTCATGTGGCCAGCATGACTAAGCCGCTTCTGGCAAACCAGAGCAGCATACGGAAACGTCATTTACCTTCCCGCCGGAGTGGTACCTATTTATCTACTTGCACTTTGACGTGCTTTCAAACTGCTAGGTTGGCAGGAGCAGAGACCAAGCAACGAGAGCTCACCCTGTCGCGGGCATTCGAACCACCGACCTTCTGATCGGCAAGTCCTAGGCTCTGTGGTTTAACCCACAGCACCACCCATGTCCCATATCATTTGTGTATACATAAATACATAAAGCTCCCAGGAGAGAGCTAGGAGGGTCTGTCATAATGGCCCCATCCGCATTATATACGTAAAGCAGTATGATAGTCATGGCTTCCCACAAAGGATCCTAGGGATTGTAGTTTGTCAAGGGAGCTGAGAATTGCTAGGAGGCCCTATTTTCACACACCAACAATTCTCAGTTACCTGGGAAGAGGGCTGTTTATTCTGAGAACTATAGCAGCTTAGGGTTGCCATATTTCAAAAAGTGAAAATCCGGACACAAAAGTTGTTGCTATTTTTTGCAAAATCTCCTATCATAGCTCTATGTAGGGAATAGAGGCCTCCCACCAACCCAGGACAAAAAGCATTTTAATATACATTTGATTGATATGAATGCCAATTTATTTGAAGGAGGGGAGGGTTGTTTGGTTCATACAACAGCTTTGTGCACTATCTCTCAACGTACTTCGCAGGGTAGTTATATGGGCAAAATATACCAACCCATGTACAGCGTCGCAAGCTACTCAGAGAAAAGGCAAGATTAAGGGAAATTAGACTCCCATTCCTAAGGCTACACAAGATAGCTTCTTGGTAAGTTTCATCGATGATGATGATGATGATTACCAAGGCCTCAGATCTGATCAAAGAAGCATAAGGTAAACAGAGGAGTCCATGGACTCGGTTACACTGGGCAATTATAATGTTAAAAACATGTTATAAAAATGTGACACCAGAGAATGCTGTAGAGCAGTGATCCGTCACCAATGGTAAATTGCATTGAGAGCTTTTTTATAGCATTTTTTTTAATAGCGTTTTTCCTGTTCGTGTAGATCAAGCCCCCTTTAGTTGATGGTCTCATTACTGAAGTAGAAATATTATCCAGGCTGTTGCTTAAGAAAACAAAAATGCCTTACAAAAACAGACTTCTTTCCGATCTTACATTTCCGTATCTTGTGTTCCATTACTCAACAAAACAATTCCATATTTCGGGGGGGGGGGGGGAATCAACTGTTCTACAACCTTACTTTTTTCCTTTGGAAGCAGCTCGGTTAATTTATCAGTTTCCGCAAATCCCATGCATTAGAATCATAGAGTTGGAAGAGACCACAAGGGCCATCGAGTCCAACCCCCTGCCAAGCAGGAAATACCATCAGAGCACTCCTGACATATGGTTGTCAAGCCTCTGCTTAAAGACCTCCAAAGAAGGAGACTCCACCACACTCCTTGGCAGCAAATTCCACTGTCGAACAGCTCTTACTGTCAGGAAGTTCTTCCTAATGTTTAGGTGGAATCTTCTTTCTTGTAGTTTGGATCCATTGCTCCGTGTCCGCTTCTCTGGAGCAGCAGAAAACAACCTTTCTCCCTCCTCTATGTGACATCCTTTTATATATTTGAACATGGCTATCATATCACCCCTTAACCTCCTCTTCTCCAGGCTAAACATGCCCAGCTCCCTTAGCCGTTCCTCATAAGGCATCGTTTCCAGGCCTTTGACCATTTTGGTTGCCCTCCTCTGGACATGTTCCAGTTTGTCAGTGTCCTTCTTGAACTGGACACTGACAAACTGGATCAACTACTCTCTTTCTCTTAGAGCTTGTTGACACTTCCATTTTCTGGCCCATGCTACCTTAGCAGCTACCAACAGAATGCATACTTATGATTTGGTATGAAGTAGAACTGATTAAAAGCTTGAAGGTGAACAGAAGGGAATATGGAATTTCTTGTCATTTCCTGCAAATCACAAATTAAGAGTTCTCACACTTATTTCCACATAATGTTTTTCTCCTTTTTTTCTTTACCTTGCCACTTGCTAAATGTTCACTCCTCCATCCTGTGACTAGCAGAAGTGGAAGAACCTTCATGGGCTGCACAGTTGTGACCCAACAGTCATGAATGGTGGCCTGCAAGGGGGATTGGAAACCATTCTGGCTTTGTGCCTAGGGCTGCAAAATTGGTGCAGCAGGGACAGAGTTTAAGCAATTGGCTGGCCACAATACATAGCCTGGTGTGCTGCATTTGACTTGGTGAACCAAACAGTTTGTGGGCAGGCTATCAACTACGAAAAGTATTTTTAGTATTATCTTTAAAATAAAAACCCTATCTACTAGTACCAGTCTGATGCTTTGACTTTGAATATCTACAGCCCTATTAAATGTTTCTTGCAAACAAATTGCTCCTTGGCCCAAATCCAGGTGAAAATGTACCAATGCCCTAAGGAACAGTAAAGTCGTAACAATATGGACAAGTGTAAAGACTTTAAAGAGCTCTCCAGGTATACACAATAAGCGCTTGTGCAAATCAAGGAGTAAAGATAAAGGGGGGGGTATGAGAGAATGGAGCTCATAATCATTTTACGACTACATTCATTTTTATGAACATCCTTTTGTGTGTGTGTGTCAGAGCTCTCCTAGACGGATTCAGGTATTGATCTTTCCAGTATTGTTAACTCATAACCAGACCATATTTGAAAACATAAAAGTTTAAGAGGGATCATAAAGAAAAGACAGACGGCTTCGGCAGATCACCTCTCACCACGGGGAATTGGGAAGCATAAATCTCACCAGGTTTGGGGAGGCGGGTGGGAATTATGCACGTCGAAATTAATTCCTGGCCATGTCTATTTCTTAGGGCATCTATAAGCTTTAAGTCATCATATGAAGATGGAATGACAGATAGCATAAAGTTAGGATGAGGGGAGCTAAGGGAGCTATAAGTAACTAGGAAAGAGGGACTGGAGGAATTATATCTTCCCCACACTTCCTGCATGCAGAGCTGAGCAAGCCTAGATGCATTTGCTGAAATTCACTCCTTGTTCTGGAGAAGGAGAACAACTCAATGGAAGAACACCAGCTTTGACTACAGAGGGTTGGTGGGGATGAATAGGAGCAACAGACCTGGGGTCTGCACCATGGTGGGAGGCACACTTAGTACTGGCAGCAACAGCAGTCACTGCCTGGCTGGCATCCTCCTAGGGATGGAGGAGAAAATTGATTTTGTTCACATTTTAACAAGAAAATGCCTAATTTGCAATTACTGAACCAATAAACAGAACACAACTATCTTTCGAAATTTGCACTTCTCTGAGTTTGGAGATGCGCTTCTCCAATCAAAAAATATGTGCCAAAATGCATATATTATGGGGGGGGTTAAAGCCCATATGTTAATGAAAATAATATAGATAAATGTATTATATCACAGCAAAGGGCTTGCCAAAATGTGTCCCTTAGTCAAAACTGCATACAAAAATGTGTTCATTGGGAGAATTTTGCACTAAAATGCTGGCGATTTTGGGGGCGGATTTTTGAAAAAAAATCACAAATTGCAGCAGAAGTGGATTTGAAAAATTTGAGAAAGTTAGATAAGTGGAATCAGTGGGTTCACATCTGGCTGCCTTCAGCCTCTGGGCGAGGCTCTCCACCTTCTCCCCTCCTAGAGCAAGGCAGGGAGAGAGCAAGGAAGTAGAATCAAAGGTTGAGGAGAAGTGTTAGAAACTGAGATATGAAAGCCAGAAGCTAAATGGCACCTTAAACCTAGGTTATGGGCGCAAGAATGAGATGTCTAGGCACACTTTTTTAATAAGAATAAGAATACATACAGACAATGCTGGTCTAGATGGACCAATGGTCTGGCTTGGTATAGGATAGCAGCTGCCTTTGTTCAGTTGCCATTTTCAGACACTGACTTTGGTGGGTCTGTAGCGAGAACGGTGTCCATGACCAAGCAGCAGACTATGTTGACTAAATCTGATGCACTGATGGTACCATTAAAAGAGTTCCATTGGTGGAACGCAGAGAATGGAATGGTAGGAACTGGACTCAAAAGTATGTTGGGCCGAAGCCAACTAGGGCTTTGTAGTTTATAATCAGTACTTTGAATCCTGCCAGGAAGAGAACAGGGAGAAATTCAACTCTCAAAGTGCAAAGCTTCCCCCACCCCCCACCCCAAAAAAGAAAACAAAACGTCCTATAAATTAGGAAGCCTTGAAATGAATGCACTCACCAAATGTTTGTAGCCTGTAGTCACTTTTACTTACATTAGACGGTGTGCTCATTGTTTATTTTATGTGTTTGGTTGTTTGGTTCTAATTTATGTTCTCTACCCCACCCTGGTATCTGCAGAGACGAAGGCCAGGTTTCAAATATTTGTCATAAATAGATAATAGTAAAATCCACAACAGTAGAACATAACCTTGCCTCTGCCTTCTTTTTTCCCCTGATGTAACTCTCTCTGATGTCCCTTAGATTAAAGCTCCTTTCAACATGAACAGGTGTGGGAAAATGCAACTTGAGCGGTTAAACTGAAAAGCAACCAGCCATTATGCATATTCACCAAAACTCGTGGAGAATGTGCACATAATCTGCCCGTGAAGAGTGAATTGTGCACATTTCCCAGTCACTATACATAATCTCCAACAGGCCTCCCTATCTAGTCCTCAGGACTTTCCCCATACCACACCCCCTCTCCCCAAGTCACTTTCAATATTCCTCGAGTGATTTTGCCTGGCTGGGCTGCGTCCTTGAACTCTGGCAATGCTTCTTGCTTGCCTAAATGGAGGATAGAGAGGAGGAAGTGTGTCTGTGCAGAAACTAGCCGACCGTACAAAGGTCATTGTTCTGCCAACTTTTGCCTCTGTCCCTGCCCACCCCTGGCATGTGGCCCTTGGATGTTTTCCCAGAAGGGAAACTGGACCTCAGGCTGAAAAAAGGCTCCCCACCAGAGATTTAGAGGATGGAAAACACGCCAAAGAAAGATTGTCGCTCAGCTGACCTTGTTAACATGCTCAGGGATGGCTGAGGTGGATGATTGTTATCATGAATCTGCAGCCGTTATCTATTAGCCAGAGGGTTTATATCGTGTTTACATTGTGTTTGACACAGTGCAGCCACATCTGTGTTGCAAGCCTCAACGTGCTCCTGCACAGGGGACGCAAGATAGACCGAGCCAAGGGAGAGAAAGACAAAAACACTTGTCCCATGCAGCCACTTTGCAGTGGGGAAAATGCTGCAGTCATTAAAATTAGCAACATGTATATGTGCTTGTTTGAAAGAAAGACCCTCTCTGTTTTTTTGCCCAAAAACAGCAATGTTCCATGAATGAAGTTCCGGGTTATTTACTACTGCCCTCTTCTGGACAAAACCAGAACCACTTCTTTTTACATCTGGGAGCCTGTTTGTTGCAAATGGTCAAGGATTATGGGAGTTGTAGTCTAGCAGCACCTGCAAGACCACTCAGTCCTAGGGTTGCCATACAGTGGTGCCCCGCAAGACGAATGCCTCGCAAGACGGAAAAACCGCTAGACGAAAGGGTTTTCCGTTTTGAAGTTGCTTCGCAGGACGAATTCCCCTATGGGCTTGCTTCGCAAGACGAAAATACCTTGCGAGTCTTGAGGTTTTTTTTTCGCTTTCCCCCCCCTTTATCTAATCTGCTAAGCCTTTAATAGCCTTTAATAGCCTTTTAGCAGCTAATCCCCTAAGCCTTTAAGCCTTTAATAGCCGCTAAACCGCTAATAGCGCTAATAGCGCTAATCCGTCAATGGGCTTGCTTCGCAAGACGAAAAAACCGCTAGACGAAGACTCTCGTGGAACGGATTAATTTCGTCTTGCGAGGCACCACTGTATTTCAAATGGTGAGATATGGCAAAGTTGTTGAGCTTTTATGGCAGATTTGCAAAAAAGGAAAAATTAAGTAGTTTTTGAGCTATTTTTAAGGAAAATTGCCAAAAACGACACTCCAAACGTGTGTTGCCATGTAAATAAGATGGTCTGCCACTGAGCTACAGCCTTTACCCAAACAGCAGGAATAACCTTCCACTGACCAGACACGCAGATTACCAGGTCACACTCCGCCCTACTCAGGTGGAAATGCATTGCATGTCTATTTAAATTATAGTAATTGCTTCTATACATGCTCATTTTATGCAAATCAAGGAGGGTGTGGTGCATTTCATCTTTTCAGACAGTGTGTAAGTGGCTACCCCGGGGCAGGGGCCAAAAAAGAAAGCAGTTTCCCTGACTGGGTAGGGGTTGACCTCAACGTAAGTTGTTTCGTCTTTCAGCCTTGCAAGAATTGCCGTAGAAATTTAAATTAGAACCATCGAGTCACAGCCAATCGCTTCACGCTCACTGTGTCTGGGAGCAGATTCTGAGCTTGGAAGGAGGCCTCCCTTCAGGATTTCACCGGCTTTTATTTGCACTGCAACTGTATTAATTTTATTCCCTCTGACAGCTGTTTTAGACCATTTCACTCTCGGCTGGAAGCATGATCAAGCCTGAAATGCAGGCTGTAAATAGAAGCCTGAGTCGCACAGTAAACTGATTTAATGTGTAGCATGTTTTATTAATGTTGCAACATTTATTGTGTATTTTAAGTCGTCATTGATTTTTATTAAAATAGACACTTTTATTACGGGCGCTAAATAAAATACTGTGTTTCCTTTCTCCCCCTCTTCTTGCTGTGAATTCTAGTTAATTTGGAAGTGCTTGTGGAAGCTGGAGCTGAATCTTTCCAGCTTTAGTCAACTTTACCACTTGGCAGCATAGACACCAAAGAACAGGATCAGAACTACTGGCTCCTTAGCCACTGAAACTGAAAACCCCCAGTTCCATTAAGGATAACTGCTGAATTCTAGCTAAAGTGGAATTGAGGGCCTGTATTGGGACATATTCAGAATACCATTGTATTATGAAGAGTTAGGTGTAATGCTCTGCAAATTTCCACTTGGGATGTCTTCAAAGGTGCCCAGGCACAGACCTGGACATAGATAGCACTTCCTGGTGGTTAAAATAGAGTAGAGCTCTGCAAGAGTTAATCACAACTTGCTAGAGTTAGCATTTTTTATAGAAAGGCCAAGTGATGTAAGGAGTGGGAGACATGAGGCCATAAATCCTTTAGAGACAGTGCCACCTGGGTCCCCACATGACTTTAAGCAGTGGCGTGGCATGGGGGAGACCACAGGGGCAGTTGCCCGGGCACAAAATTGCTGTCTCGATACAGTTCTGTCTCAATACAGCTGCATGCTTCCATCACTTGGATCCATTGAAAATGGCTTTTCCATGCAAACCAGGAAGTGACTTCTCCAAACAACAGAACATCTCTTCTTTTCATATCTATGCAGCTGCAATCTCCTGGGTGATGCAGATGCCGTAAGGCAGTTGAATGTGCATGCATACTCTGTCTATTTCCCTCCCTACCACCCACCTTCCATATGGCCCCGGTTGCTGGCAGCCCACGCTACGTCCCTGCTCATAAGACACTGACTTTGCACTTTAAGTGCTGAGCAGCATAGTATGGGACCATCTAGGCCACCCCAACGCTTTGCAGCCCACTGTTCATTATGACTACTCCCCTGGCCTTGCCAGACAGAAAAATAGACAAGGTCATGGGAAGGTGACATTGGTACAGATGCTCAAGTGTTGTCAGGACTCCCAAGCCCTCCAAGGGCCAGTGGGAATCTTAAGGGGAGAAGTGCAAGTTGGTGATCCTTTCGTTCCCCTTATTTTGACAAAACTTCTTTTTCTAAAGATAGCCTTCTTTCCTCTACTATGAAAAATCATAGCAAGTGTATATCAGGTGTAGCCAAAGTGGTGCCCTTTAGATGTTGAGGAGTATAACATCAGTCCCAGCCAGCATGGCAAAAAGCCAGGGATGATGGTAAGGTAAAGGTAAAGGGACCCCTGACCATTAGGTCCAGTCGTGACCGACTGGGGATGCGGCGCTCATCTCGCTTTATTGGCCGAGGGAGCCGGCGTACAGCTTCCGGGTCATGTGGCCAGCATGAACCAGAGCAGCACACGGAAACGCCATTTACCTTCCCTCCGGAGCAGTACCTATTTATCTACTTGCACTTTGATGTGCTTTCGAACTGCTAGGTTGGCAGGAGCAGGGACCGAGCAATAGGAGCTCACCCCGTTGCGGGGATTCGAACCGCTGACCTTCTGATCGGCAGGTCCTAGGCTCTGTGGTTTAATCCACAGTGCCACCCGCTTCCTAAGGGATGATGGTGGTTTTAGTCAAAAACATCTGGAGGGCACCATGTTGACTACTCTTACTCTTACATTCTTCTGCATGGTTAGCTTGGTTGTCCGATTCCCGGCACAACAGCTGTAGAAAATGAGAGCTACTTTATACTAAGAGAGAATGCGCAAGCTTACCAGCATGAGCCACATTAAGCCTGGCAGGTGGGTGAGCCACCTACTTGCATCATCCATTAATTCCTAAATGCTCCCCGCAGAAGTTACTTCTTCTCTGAAACCAACCTGCTTTTGAGAGCACCAGAGGACCCTTAAATGTCTGGCCAGCCAAGGTGATTGTGTTCTGAGTGGGACCCATTTATCCCATCACTGGCAAGCATTCCCCGCAAACGGCACACTGCTCTTCTCTTCGGGCTTCTGCCTCGCCATTTAGCTCTTGCAATCAGGTCCTGAGAGTGGACAATCAGCTCTCCACATTTGAGCCACATTATTAGCAGGAAGCGGTTGCAAACTCCAAATGTAACAAGAATCCGATCTCTTACTTATTCTGCATACAGACACATCCGTTTCTTACTGGCCCAGTCTCCTGTGCTTCTAATAGCAGGACCGTGCAGAGCTTGTTGGAGACCCAGAGTAGATGTCTTTTTAGAATAAAGTTATAAACTCAAACAAAAAAGCAGTCTGTCCCTGGCAGGGCCTTCTAACCAGATTAGCCCTCCAAGACCTGGGGCAAGTGTACCCAGCTGCAACTCTCTCTTCTACACTGGCCTATCTAACACCAAGTGGGCACACAGGATTTTAGGAGGTGAAGCTCCTACTACTTAGCTCTATTCAAGGAGGAGGTCAGCATGATGGACTGCAAAGGCACAGGAGTGGTACTCAACATACGATTTTAATGCTATTGTTTTACTATATATTTTTATGGGTGGTATTTTAATTTTGATGTTTATGCTGTTGGCTTTTATACTTGTAAACATCTTAGAATTATGTAAAAAATTATTATTATTATTATTATTACTACTACTACTACTACTACTACTCCCTCATCACCTCTAATTGCTTGCTGTCTAACTTTCAGCAGAAGTAAAACATGGGATAAACTTTTAAAGTTGGACATTTAAAAGAATTTTTTACATGGAACAATGCTTCTTTGTTATTTTGACTGAAGAGTAGAGATGGCAAGTCTGTCGAAAACTGATAAGAGAGAGAAATAGAAATTGACAGACTTGCCCAACTCTTTAGTTCTCCACATATCCACATCACTTTGCAATTTTATTTTATTTTATTTTAAAAAGCCTTGTGAAAATTATTAGCATTTTAGTGTGAATTTCTCCCAATATACTTAATTAGCATGCATCTTTGCCTAATGTAAATATTTTAGCAAAGCATATTTCCCCTAATATTTCCATACCATAATGTATGTTTATGTACTCTTTACCCTGGTGTATGCATTTTTACATACATTCTTTTGCTAGAGTACTGCATTACAAAATTCAGAAAAGTGCAAAGTTCAAAGGGTGGCTGTGTTTCAGTTCACCTATCGTTTCAGAATGTGAAGATTGGGTAGCCTCACTTCTGAATGGGAACTGAATTGAATTTCTCCCCCACCCCTACAGAAGAACTAGTGCAACTTTCATTGCTAACTTTTCAGTCTGCCACTGTTAACTGTGTCCTTTTTTAGAATGGCTTGATCTACAGACATTAGCAGGTAAAAAAAAACATTGATTCCAAAACTGTTTCATTTCCAGCTGATTTCTGCTGTTCAATCCACTGTCAAGAACACATGAGGAGGCATTTTTCTTCCTGGGAGAGTTAGTTATACAGTGGTACCTCAGGTTAAGTACTTAATTCATTCTGGAGGTCCGTTCTTAACCTGAAACTGTTCTTAACCTGAAGCACCACTTTAGCTAATGGGGCCTCCTGCTGCCGCCGCGCCGCTGGGGCACGATTTCTGTTCTTATCCTGAAGCAAAGTTCTTAACCTGAAGCACTATTTCTGGGTTAGCAGAGTCTGTAACCTGAAGCGTATGTAACATGAAGCATATGTAACCCGAGGTACCACTGTACTATATTCAATGCAACTTTGTTTGGAAATGAGAAGAACTGGTGCCTGTTCTATTGTCACTGACATTATGGAAGTATATCTGTGAGGCTCATCTACATACTTGTTTACAGCAATCGCTGCTGCTCCTGCTTCCCGATTCCTTAAGGTGAAGAGTCTCCCATTTGTCACCGAAGTCAGCCACAGAGACCTTAAGCCGCTTTCTGTTCAGACAAGTTAATCAGGTGCTCCTTGTCATCAGAGTCGTCTTGGGAAGATTCATGAGACCCTCGTACGAGCCGGGTAAGAAAATATACTGGTGTCCATGTTCCACACCATTTTGAAGTTATTTCTGGAAAGCCAATTTCAGCACTCCTCGAGATTAGATGGGCAAGTCAGAGATGGAGAGAGAAAAAGAATCCAGGCCTGTGCTTTGTGAGTGGCTCGCTGAGTGAAAAGTTTCCCTGCTGCAAAATTCCTGAGCTTTTTTTCCCGCACTTGCAAGTGGTCTGTGCTTTTAGCAGGTACTTCACAGGCAGAAACCCAGAAGGTGAAGCCTTTATCATCATCACTCTCTGCCCTCCAGCATGATCCACCTGAGGTCAGCCTGACCCTTTCCATAACAGAGGCAGGATTTCAGTCGAGTTCATAATGAACTATTACGGACCTCTGGGTAACGGGGGGAAGAGTATTAAAGGCTAACTATTTGTTAGCAGAAGCTTTAGCCATCTGAGCGCCATTTTGTAGACCATCTGCTTAACACCCTCAGCCTCACCTTTCTGATCAAATACCTGGGAGAGGCCACTTTTGATTGGGGGGGGTTATTGTTCTGGTGTTGTCATCTCTTTTATGCTATAAACTGGCAGGCCTGAAGCAAAACTTCAATTGCTCCAGTACCTGAGTAAGACCTGCTCAGGAATGTGGGGGGAGGGAGAGAGAGAGAGAGAGAGAGAGAATCCTGAGGTGGTAGAATGGACTGTACCATTTCAGACTTCAGGTGAGAGGAGGAGGAATAACATATTTTTAAAAAAAATCCCACTTGTTGTTGTTGTTTTAAAAACATATTTCCGCAAAGTAAAAAAACGTGTACACGCAGGTCCTGCTATCCAAACACTCATTATGCAAAAATTCACTTATCCAAACACAAGGAATGAGCACACAAACCTCGCTATACACACTGTAGATTCAGTTATCCAAACATCTGGAGCTGCATGTGGTACTGTAAACAAATAAGCAGCCTTAAACAAGCCTTACTTTTTGTGTTGGAGATGAAAATGCTTGCTGGTTGGCAATCTTTTGGGGCTTTGAAAAAAGGGGGTGTCAAGGTGGGTGCCATGAGTAGTGCACTGAGGCACTGGCAAATGTCCAGATATGTGGACAGTGGACCTGCAACTTCCAGCTTCTTAGGTTTTCCCTTTATGAAACAGCACCTTTATTTATTTGAGAAATTTCTATACTACCCTCCTGCCATACTACCAAGGTAGTTTACATAAGAACGGAACAAAATAAAGAGTGCAAATTACAAAGCCCGGAATCATAACAATATAATTCGCATAGATTGAGAAGAGGTTTCAATTTGTTGAGAGACCACATTTAGCTCATAGTGGTCCACCTCTGGAGAATAAGAAATGGATATTTTACAGGCCTTTGACACAGAGTTCTACATTTTTAGAATTACACGCCAATCTCTCAAGTTACACAGCTCTTGAGATCAGAAGCAATAAAAAACCTCTTCACCTGAGGCAAGTTTAACAGCAGCTTTTCTTATTTCTTTAAAAAACAAAACAACCAGTGCTTTTAGCATTTCTTGCTACCTCAAGCAAGTTATCACTGATTTGGCATCAGATGCAGATTGTGTGTCATGTCACTGCCAAATAATGTAAGAAATATATCCATATATTCTTATTTATTATCAGTGTTATTCATTAGATTATATATTGTTGACATGCCAAAATGGCTTCTAATAGGAACCAAGAGGAAAACAACTTTATAAAAGACTGGGGGAATTTGCAGATTATCTTAAATGTTATTGTAGACAGGATTAACTTAAACCAAACAGTTAATGTTAAACGATAACTAGGGAAGAATTGTTAATTGGAGTAATGAAGGAGATGCAGTGTTATAGATTAAAAATTATAAGAAACCGCAAAGGGAATGAGGGGAAGTAAAAATGCATATATTTGTTGCAAAATATTGCATTGTATTTATGTAAAAAAAATCTTAAAAATTGAAAAATAAAATGTATATATATAAAATTATCCCCCCCCCAAAAAAAGGCTTCTAAAAATCTTTTTGCAAATAAAACAGGAATTAGAGCTAAACTTCTGCTATATCCCATAAGAATTTTGGCAGTTGTTGTGTGAAAGCTCAGATATAATGCAAATATTAACCGTTAGGGAAACATAGGGCAAATGGAATAAACTGCTGTGTGGATGCAGCCTTGTGTTATATTTTGGTGTATTTCTGGAAGTGGCTTTTACTTTGTGTTAAAGCTCAAATATAATATGGAAATAAACAAGAAAACATTGGGGAAACAGAATAAACAGCTGTGTGAATGCAGCCACACTCAGCTACCCGTAATCAAATGCAGAAAGTCAAAAGATGCAGTGTGTGTGTGTGTGTGTGTGAGAGAGAGAGAGAGAGACTCATCTACACAGCTGCAAATAAAACATTTTTAATGTGTTGTAAAGTGCAGTATACAAATGTGACACTAGATGGCAAAAGTGAGCAATGCAAAATTCCATGTATTTTTCAAAATGTTTTTTTTTTAATCAGTTTCACAGCGTTTTTATGTGTGTGTAGATTCCACCAGAGTCTTATGCATTCTTATGAAATGGAAATGCTACAACTCAGAACACCATCTCTTAATCTGTATCATTTATCTCTAGTCACCTGGCAACGACATTTTTCAAATACCGAGGTAATATATACAACTGAGGGAAATGAAACACTTTCTCACTCAATTTCTTTGGTACGTAAAATGAAAGAAAAAGATTTGTTTCTCTGTGTTAAATGCCTTGCCAGCTCTGTTTATATTGACCCATTCGTTATCTGTTGGTGTAGTTTAACTGTGACATCACTGAGGATTATTTTCCTCCCTGCACAGCATGATTTTCTCATGAGGTCCAGATAGCTCTGTTGTCCAGCGGCTCCAGCCCCACAATGAGAATAGCACTGTAACAAGGTTATAATGTAAAGCACTAAGCAATTAGCTGGCAGATTTACCTCTCTGTCTTAAAAGGATTTTTATTGCTTAATCAATTTCAAGCAATTTATAAACAAGACTGGGGTTTTACGGTGGAACATAAATCTGCCGTATTTGCTTCCCGGATAGAATGGGAGAGTATGTGTGCAAAGATCTAAATTTCAAGGCGACATTTTATCAATTAAAAACTTTAAAAAAAAAACTCTGTAAGGGGTAAAATTCAAAAATAGCAGCTATCCCAGGGAGAGAAAATAGAGAATTGACTTATTAGGCCACACCTGGGTATTTGCAATGACTTCCAGGTACACAGTTTCTTGAGAGAGCTGAAACATTGATTTACAGTGCAATTCTATACATGTCTACTCAGAGGCAAGTACATTTGAGTTCAATAGTGTTTACTCCCAGGAAAATGTGTATAGGATTGCTGCCTTTGTCCTGGATATCCCCATGTGGTGATCCTCCTCATTTAATGGGGTGAGTAATGCTTGTCCTTATTAACATATTATTGGATAAGTATTTTAGAATCAAAGAAATGTTGAGTTGTAAGGGACCCCAGTGGTCCACCCTGTAGAACGCCCTCCCGTCAGATGTCAAGGCGATAAAGAAATGCACAACTTTTAGAAGACATCTGTAGGCAGCCCTGATTTGGGAAGTTTTTAAGGTGTGATGTTTTATTATTTTTCTATATATGTTGGAAGCTGCCCAGAGTGGCTGGGGCAACCCAGCCAGATGGGCGGGGTGTTGTTGTTGTTGCTGCTGCTGCTGCTGCTGCTGCTATCGCTATCTAAATTAGGGGCCATCACTGTCTTTTGTGCAAGCAAATTCCATAGCATAACTACTGTATGCCCTGTGCAAAGAAGTACTTCATTCTGCTTGTCCTGCATCTTCCAACACCAGCAGAGTCTTTTCATGATTCTTATGTGGTTCCATTTATGAGCTTCCCATCGGAAAAGGTAAAAAGGTAAAGGACCCCTGGACGGTTAAGTCCAGTCAAAGGTGACTATGGGGTTGCAGTGCTCATCTCGCTTTCAAGCCAAGGGAGCCAGCATTTGTCCACAGACAGCTTTCTGGGTCATGCGGCCAGCATCTCTAAACCTCTTCTGGTGCAATGAAACACTGTGACAGAAGCCAGAGCGCACGGAAACACCATTTACCTTCCCGCAGCAGTGGGACCTATTTATCTACTTGCACTGGCATGCTTTCAAACTGCTAGGTTGGAAGAAGCTGGGGCAAAGCAACGGGAGCTTAGCCCGTCGTGTGGATTCGAACTGCCAACCTTCTGATCAGCAAGCCCAAGAGCATGCCATAGGACTCTGGTTTACCACTGTGAGAGCAGGATAGTGGGTTACATGGGCCACAGGCCTGATCCAGCAGGCTCTTCTTATATGGTTGGGTTTCAGCTCCCATCACTCCCAACCTCTATGACCAATGTTGAGGGTTGATGGGAATTGTAGTCCGCAATATCTGGAAGACCATGGTCTCCTCATCCATGCCACAGACACTTAGCGGTGACAGAGCACAAGACAACAACAAATACCTCTGTGATGCCTGAAGAAACAAAGAATCTGGTCAGAAAAGCGGCATCTGTTGCTCATGAAACCCTAAACCTTTAAGAACATAAGAGTGTTGGTCAGAAAAGCCTGAACCTTTAAGAAGATTGAATGGTGCCACACTTGCAATACAGTGTTCGGTTCTTGATGCCACATCACCAAAAGGACTTTGCAATCCTGGAAAAGGTGCTGGAATGGACCGCTAATATGGGGGCAACTCCCCATTGAGGAAAGGTGCAATGTTGGGCCTGTTTAGTTTAGGCATGAAAGCAGACAAAACAGAGGTTCATAAATGTATGCATTGTGTGGAGAAAGAAGACAAAGATGCTTTCCTGCCTTTAATAAATTCAGAACCTGGGGTCAACCAATGAAGATGAATGGTAGAAGATTCAGGAGAGGGAAAAGAAAGTATGCCAACAAACAGTGCAGAGTTCAACTCCTGTTAAATCTCTTTGGGGTGTTTTATAGTACATGATTCATAAATGAAATAAATGAACAGGCTAAGGAATTGACTCCAACATGACCAC